TTAACATTAAACTCACATCCTTAACAATACCAAATTGCTCAACAGGTGTTAAGACATCAAAGTCAAAACTGAAGAGGAAAGGGAAAACTAGAGAGTTAAGCTGATATGAACTGATGTTCCCAGAAAAGGCCTCCTTCTATATGGCCGCATGACTAATTAGCTGAAATGTTACAGTTCCAGAATCAAATTATCTTAAAATTTTAAAGCATCTAAAGGGCTATTTTCAGAGTCCCTAAAGAGCCATTTATTACTTACCTGTCTGTCTGTATGCTCAGGACATCCTCAGGACAATCAAGTCAAGTCTTAGGGTATGAAGGCCAAGAATGTCATCAGAGCAGCTGAGACCTTCAACTGATTTCACTGATTCACTGAAACCAACTTAACTGATATTTCCACCAAAGTATCTGAAAAGAGTTTTGATTTGTGACTTTGTTCTGTTACTACAAACTGTTGGCCACATGGGAATATGTTATTTTGGACAAACTGAATCTGTGTGTCAGGACCAAAGTCACTAATCTTTGGCTCCAAAATAAACTATCCATTCTTCACTCTGAGAACTGTTTTTACATCAATGGTCTGGGGCACTCAATATGACCAAAGCATGATCCATATTCACAGGAGGAGTCACCTGGATCATCAACAGGTGTCACAGCTCCTTGTGCCAACTATCTGGGACTGCCTTCTTCCTGGGGCTCAGACTTCTCTTGGTTTGGTCAACCATCTCTTGGCTTGTTCTGAGCTGGGTGTTAGGACACTATTATTTAGATATCTTCTGTGTTGTTTCAGAGCATTTGGTTTACTTTCGTTTGTTTGCAGAATGCCCAGGTTATCTACTAACATTCAGACTATTCTCCTTGCACTCTAATATTTAATTCAAAAAAGGAGGAAATATTTGGAGAAAAACAGCCATTTGGTAATCCAGTTAGCTTTATACTTGGTAATTTGTGTTGACCTTGCAAGTACTTGAAGAAAAATAAGAAAACCTAAGTAAAGTTAACTCTACATTACTCTAAATGGGAAACATTTTCTTATACTATTTTGGATTTTCCTCACACACTAAACTCAAAAGTCCTAGGCATAGAGTTAAAGGTCACAGATGGGCAGCTTGCTATAATTAAAATTTTAAAGCATCTGAAGAATGAAAACAAGACAAAATTGGCAACCTGAAATCAGTAAGTTTTAGAAACTGTATCTACATTAAAGGAGATAAGGAAGGACTGAATGCAGGTAATTGAATACGAGTTATGAAATGCATGATTCTGTCATGCTTTTTTTTTTTTTTTGGTTTGGGTGGTGGATAAGTACATAAAATTTATTTGATACCAAAAGCATAATTTTTTTCCCCAAAAACAGGGTTTCTCCATGTAGTTTTGGTGCCTGACCTGGATCTCGCTCTGTAGCCCAGGCTGGCCTCAAACTTACAGAGATCCTCCTGGCTCTGCCTCCCGAGGGCTGGGGTTAAAGGCATGCGCTCAGCCGTTAAAGGCTAGGCTCACAACCAAAAGCATAAATTTTAATGTGAATCTCCACAGTTTCCATTTCAAATACCTACTCTAACTATATAGAAGTTCGCTAAGTTGTATAGGCATTTTGTCTAGTTAATTTTGGTGTGTAAATTTTCATTTATTACCAAGTACTTTTAATAATAATAATATTTTTTTAAAAAGAACATTGTCATAGTTTGCTGTTGCTATAAATTACACTACAGCCAACAACAACTTGGGGAAGAAAGAGTTTCTTTCATCTTATACTTCCATGTATAAGACAGCTCATCACCCACCAAACCTAAGGCAGGAACTCAAGGCAGGAACTGAAGCAGAGACCATGAAGGAATACTGTTTACTAACTTGCTTCCTCTGGCTTGCTCAGTCTCCTTTCTTCTATAATGCAGACTCATCTAATTAGGCATGGAACTGCCCACAGTGGGCAAATCCCTCCCATATAAATTATTAATCAAGAAAATATTCTTACAGACATGCTCACAGGCCAATTTGATGAAGGCAATTCCTCAGTTGAGGTTATCTCTTCCCAAAAGGTATATCAATTTGACTAAAAACATGAGTAACCAAAAAACATGAATTAATAAGAAAAATTTAGAGACTGCATCCAAACTAAAAATAAATTCTGAGAAACCTAACTATGCCCAACCCATTCTTCTCATATATCCTGATACCATGATTCTTCCCCTCCTTTACCTCCAAGCAAAATAAAATTCATTATCAAAGAAAAAGATTGTATGGCCTATTTTAGGATTAAAATCTAGTGGGAAGAATTATCTCATACTATATTAAAAACACAATTTATAAAAGCAACTTTCTGTTGATGGGAATCTAACTCTACATAATAAGCTTCACCTTTG